TTCCATCTTGATTTTGGATGGTCGACGCCCCAAACATTTTTTCGAGGGGTTGACCGAATCTCTGAACCCCCCTGTGCCACCGCTACTGAATCATAGCCAAAATGGGAAGCCAGTGTTATAATTGCTATTATGGGTGAAGATGTCTTAAGGAATTCTTTCCACCAATTCTTCTACATTTCTGGGTATTATAATTAAAATACAGCCCGGGGAGTTTTGCTCGTCGTGCCTTGTTATCACGCAATAATGGTAAGCGCATCTAGCTTCTATTGCCTAGGTATATGAAGTTGGCTACACTATGGTTTTTATTTTATGCTGTTGTTCGCAAAACCAAACTTACTTAGAACGCTGATCGCCAACTACATCACATCTACCGGTCTTTACCTGCAATTTTATTACTGTATGAATCAGTGGTAGATATGCACGTGAAGCGAATTTGTGTTTCATAACCGAGTTCATAACAGTATTGCTACCTTATAATGTACTGACACGTTACTTCATGAACCTTAGAAACCTACATTACATTTCTATGAACTCAAGACCACTGTGTGCCGAGTTATGTTTCAGGGTAGATGAATTTTGTGTCACAATTTAGAATAACCAAATTGTTCATTTGGTATACGTGTTGATATTGACTGGAATATTATATGTAAAATCATAATAACGAAATGTACCATCGCTAAATTATTAGCGAGAGTACACAAATTGGATATGTGTTGTTTAAAGCGAGGAAGTCGTCACCTGCGCATGCGTCAGATGGCCATGGGGTGTCATTGCGTTGTGTGGTCACAGGAAGCGCTGTCCCAGCACAGATAAGACGGTGTTGAAAGAACGCCGATCTGCAGCGTCAATGGTGTCATTGTTTACCAACAAGCGCCTACCCACGATGAGCCTTTGTGTTTTTAGTAGCGTGTGTTGCTATGATCGCTTGGGACTCAATTCCCGCGCGTGCGCAGGTGACGACCCTCCCTCTTTAATGTTTTTCTATTACTTTTTACAGTGGCAGCGCCATATTTATAAAATAAAATGAAGAAACGTGACTTTTTGAAGATACTATCGTTTCAGGTTACCCATGAATGTTTTTATTCTATGTGACGACAAATCGTTCAAAATTAAAATTGTAGTTTAACTATTTATTGGGCATCTTATTACCAGATACACTCAAAACAGTTTATTGTAAACAGTCATAGGTAACTTTACATAATACTCCATAAAACGTATATGATATTTTTATCACAGTATATACTTTCGTATCTAAGATTATACAACACTATACTTGATAATATTTAGATATAATTATGATTCCTGTATGTGAATGTGTGTGTTCCACTGATATCTCAATAACCAATTATCAGAGTTTAATTAAACTTTGTACATAGATGCTATGGTTTAAAGCACAGACCTACATTGTAATTAGTTTTTGGTTGAACTCAATTGATAATTAATTACATAATTTGCAATTTTGCATATTATCCAATTTTAAGCATTTTCAAATGTTTCTCAGACGCTATTAAACAGATTTCAATGAAACTAGGTACATAGATGCTCTAAGATAATGCTAAGACCTGATTAGTGTTTGTTTGAAACCATGTATATTAATGACTTAATTTGCATATTAATTAGCCAATATTTATTATTTTTGTGCTTACTAATTACCTAATTTAGACATGCTACGCAGATATCTCGAGTACCACTCATCATTTTAATGAAAATAGTAAATATACCCTTACTTAATCGAAATTGCCTATCATCAAATGTGGACAGCACATTATTAAGCATGGAAATGCCCCCAAAATACTTTTGCATTTGTCGAATCCCACGCGATGTTTGACGCGACTACGACGCTATGACCTTTGTTTGTCCTGTTTTTACGTTCGATTTCACGCATAACGCGTGATTCTCGCAGTGTACGGAAAATGGTCTATTGTGAGGTATTGTAAACAAATTGAAATTATATCACCCTTTGCATTGTGACCATTGTTCTAACCATGATGTTTATTTCGTCCATCATCTTTACTAGGAAAGTATTCTTTCTTGGTTCTAAACATTTAGCATTTTCTAGTTGTTTTTTTTAAATATTACTGTTTCAGAACATTCTCTTTTGTTATCACATGAACCAAAATGAAGAATACGTTTCCCTGACTATATTTTAAATATTAAACAGTTGATGAGCAGCACCACGCTGGATACAAACGAACTAGTAAGTTGTTTAGATGCATTGCCATTCTATTGAATGAGCAGGTGATTTATGTTTGAATGTTACATGTAGTTACTATGAACCATAAATGAATCTCATGTGATTGGCCCATCGTCCTATTATGTAACACACATAAGCTGTGACATCACACAACCTTTGATGAAGCTGCATGAACTATGGTACTACCTACTACGCCCAGTATAGGGTATTGGTACGAGTAAACATCCTCTGCCCTATGGGCTACAGACATTAACTAAAGCCTCAATTCTAACAGGCTGTGAACTACTGTTACTAGTGTTAGCGTCCTTGTAGTTGGTTTTACCTATCAGTAAATTATGCTTCGAGTATGTGAATATTCCTATTCTATCTCTGCTTTATAAGAAATCAATTTCTACAAGAACTCATAAGGTAGATGCCTACCCACATTTTTTTCGGCAAAATGTTGGCTTTGTATCCACTTTACATATCTGACTGACTCTCCTTGAATTACAATGATGCCATAAACAAAAGAAAACTAAGTCCACACTCTTACTATTGGGTGGTTTTTATATTATTTTGCGAGAAGAAACTCCAAATACAACAGAGTTTGTGCCAATGGATTGGACAAATTTCACAAATTTCGGTTTCCTCCCTCTTAATTTACAGAAAAACACATCATGCACATGTGCATCAAATCAAAAGTTGACATGTGTATGGTCTTTATGTTTGAATGTGATTGGATGAGTTATATCCGAGATGCAGGTCCGTTCATGCACTGATGGCATCCACAAGAACTAAAAATCTGAACATTAAAATTTCTCCTGACCAAATTAATTGCATTTCATTCTAAAGGTCAACCACCATTATAAAGTATTGAATAAAGTCAGAGTACGAGAACTCTTCTGGTTATAAAGACGGGCACAAGATAAAATGTTGAGGCCACTTTAGAGCACATTCCATTCCACCAACCAAATTGTGTAGAAATGTTGACTACTCACAAACTCAGTTTAAATTATGATAATTTCTATAGATGGTTTGGGTGGTAAGTTTCAAGTCAGATAAAGCCTATTTACTCTTCTGGATATAAAATCATCTCCAGCACACCAAAATCTGACTGACTTTATATCCCAACAAGCAGCCTATCGGCTGAGATAGCTCCGCTGTTAGCAATGCACATTTCAATTAAAGAACTGAAGACATCATTAGAAAATGAACAATATGAATAGTATCAAAGCAATCGGACTTACAGTTTTTAACAAGAAGTCGAAAATATCACTTTTCACCAAAAAATGACAAAAATATTCACCAAAAATAGAGAATTAAAGATATCATTACAAAATGAACAAATCTGAGAGAGGTCCACATGTAGTACCTATATATGTAATATCAAAGCAATCGGACTTGCGGTTTTTAACAAGAAGTCAAAAATATCACTTTTTACCAAAAATGACAAAAATATTCACCAAAATTAGAGAATTGAAGATATCATCACGAAATAAACAAATCTGAGAGAGGTCCACATGTAGTACCTATATATGTAGATCAAAGCAATTGGACTTGCGGTTTTTAACAAGAAGTCGAAAATATCACTTTTCACCAAAAAATGACAAAAATATTCACCAAAAATAGAGAATTAAAGATATCATTACAAAATGAACAAATCTGAGAGAGGTCCACATGTAGTACCTATATATGTAATATCAAAGCATTTGCACTTGCGGTTTTTAACAAGAAGTCGAAAATATCAGTTTTCACCAAAAAATGACAAAAATATTCACCAAAATTAGAGAATTAAAGATATCATTACAAAATGAACAAATCTGAGAGAGGTCCACATGTAGTACCTATATATGTAATATCAAAGCAATTGCACTTGCGGTTTTT